AAAGAGGGAGCAGCAAAGTGTCTAGCTGTGTTGACTAGAAAAGGTAAGTCCGAAAGGCAAATCTGTTTAGTAAAAGATAATGAATTCCATTTTAGTTAGGTTGAAATAAAGATGTTAAAAGGATAGCCAAATAAAAACAGACAGCAGATAATTGGACCTGTAAAGCTTCCAAGTTCTAGATTAGTTCAGGAAGAAGGCAACCTCATTACTTCCATAAAACTATAAAATGAACATGTTAAACATTTTACTTAATTCTTTAATGATGAGGGAATGGACGAAATATAAAACATTCAAAGGAGAATTCAAAATACAACATGTTTATAGTTAAAGAATGCTGAAGTGAATTTATAATAGAAACAAAACCGGTCCATATCCGCAGGGCAATAATCAGTGGTATTCTACAGGAAACAGTTTCTACAAACAGGAATTATTTGCAGCTACCGTTAGTTCTTTGCAAGTTAACTAAATACCAACTCTGCAGAGTTGTAAAACAGCCTAGTCAAAGAAACAGGTGGATATAACTAACCTAAAATGGAGGTTGTTGTAGCCAGGCTAAATTTCACTAAATTTCACTAAATTTCAGTTTTTCACTCTGTTTCCTTAACTTGGTGTAGAAGTTGTAAACTCAGCAGCCTGTTGAGGTCTTTGCTCTCTCCCTCCTCTCCCTCTGTTCCCTTTTCTTCCTTCCACTCCCTTTCCCTCCATTCCTTGTCCCTCCTCTCTAGCAATATAGGAGGCTTTGTGTACCTCTTCATTTTTAGATAAAACTGGCTTAATTAGTGCCAAAACTAAAAAAATAAAACTTTCTCTTCTTTTGGGCATTTCTCAAATGCCCAAAGTATTACTAAAGTGATCTATGTAACTAGAAATATTTGTACCCCCATGATACTTTGAAACTAAAAGGGGTGGGGGGATTGCTAGGAATCTTTATTCCCTAAGTTTATTAGAGCTGAAATCAGTGATGAGTCAAGAACTTGTAATTTTTTTTTTTTTTTGAGACAGAGCCTCAAGATGTTGCCCTGGGTAGAGTGCTGTGGCATCACAGCTCACAGCAACCTCCAACTCCTGAGCTCAAGTGAATCTCCTGCCTCCGCCTCCCAACCAGCTGGGACTACATACAGGCACCTGTGACAATGCCTGGCTATTTTTTGGTTGCAGCCGTGATTGTTGTTTGGCGGCCCAGGCTGAATTCAAACCCGCCAGCTCAGGTGTATGTGGCTGGCACTTTAGCCCCTTGAGCCACAGGCGCCAAGCCAAGAACTTGTACTTAATAACAGATAATCATCAAAAAAAGGTAAAATCATGGGTCTATGAAAGGAAATGAACATAAGCCATCAAATACTGAAGGAACCTCCAAAAAATGCTGGCTCGGCGCCCATGACTCAAATGGCTAAGCGCTGGCCACATACATCTAAGACGGTGGGTTTGAAGCCTGGGCCTGCCAAACAGTAATGACAGCTGCAAAAAATAGCCAGGCGTTGTGACGGGCACCTGTAGTCCCAGCTACTTGGGAGACGGAGGCAGGAGAATCGCTTGAGCCTAGGAGTTGGAGGTTGCTGGGAGCTGTGATGCCACAGTACTCTACCTAGGGTGACAGCTTGAGGCTCTGTTTCCAAAAAAAAATAAAAAAGTTGCAGCTGGTTAATAGGTAAATCCAAAGATCAGACAAATGTGTAATCCCATCAGGAAGGCCAAACAAATTTACTTCTTGTATGACCAAATTGACTCTTTCACAGTGGAGGAAGTCAGTTGAGCTTCTAACGTACAGAATAATTTGCACATCTGTAAACACTAATTATTTGCATTGCTGTCAGTTTTCTATCTCTACAGACTTGCAAATAGGTCAAAGACAAAGGGAAGAAACCCATAGAATCAGATAATGGTTGGACCCTAAACAAGGCATATTTTTCCATTAAAGGTAGTTTATTTGGGTTTACTTAAAAATGTGATTTTGCCCTTAACTAATATTGAAAGGTAAATGTTAGCGACATTAATTATTTAAATCCCACATTGTACAGCATAAATGGCAGTGTGCAGAATTGACCCAGTTCACCAAAAGAAAAGCCATTGAAATCATAATATAATTTAACTTCATTGTGACAAGTAGAAAAATGTTTGCTTTTTAAAAATTCTTAGCTGTTTCACAGGATCACAACTAGAAAAAAATGCTTAACCTGACACTCTAAAAATAAAATTTCTGTTTTCTATAGAAGTGGACTGAAAAAAATGGTAGGATATTATGTAAGTAATCTTGACAATTAGAACATTAAAACATGTTTGGAATGTTTAAAGTTAGCTTAAGTTGATTAATAACTTATTCATCAAATGATCTCTTTAGTGGTTTATAATAGATGTTTCAGAATACAAACAGCAACTAGGATAAATCACTTTAAATGGTATATACCGCTGAAATGTGTAATTATTTTGACACAATTGAGTTTTTTCCTTAAGTTAGCCAGGATGACACTGAAAAATTTTTATTACATTATTAACAAAGTATTTTGGAGTTCTGTTTAGAGTGGAATAGGATAATTGATAATAGCCATAGTGCACAGTGCTAGCACTCTTGATGCATTTCTTTTCCCTTTTATAAGCAGATTCTTTGTAGCTGGTGATCCCTTTCAGATTGTGGTTTCTTCTTTGAGCGAGTGTTTTTGTGGCTAACTTGAATTGCATGAGAAAACTGAAGCTGACCTGAAGTGCCTTGCCTTGCCTTGTTAATAGATTACAGCATTCCATTTGTTGGTACCAGTGACACAGGAGAAACTTTACTGTTATGCTATTTGGTAATGATAAAGAACACAGAAAAAGTCTTTTTATGGTAGTCCTTAAAACAACCTTCATATTTTGGTGATGAGATACAAGTTGGCTATCAAATGGAGAGGTACATTAGCTTGTTATCTGGCAAAGCTGATAGAGCCTTTTAAGTCCTCTCACAGTGACAGGAACCCCATCTGAAGTGAAGGCTTGCAGACTTGGAGATACCAAAGCACTTTCCTTCCTCATAAGGACAAGCACAGTTAATCTACCTTTGTAGAATAAAAACTTCATGTAATTACTGAGCAAAGGCCATATTTTTTTCCTCTGTCGATGAAAAATGTTTGAAGAGATACATACTTGATGATTGCTGTTGGTAGAAATTTTAGTAACAAGCATTTCAGCATACCAAGAAAAGCAAAACTGTGAATTAACTAGTCTTAAGGTATATGAGCATTAGGGGGCAATAACCAGAGATTTAGGGCTAGAATACATCAACTTCATAATAAGATCTGTGTGTGGGTACCTACTGTATTTATTCTGTTTCTGGAACTTTACAGGTTATAATAGTACAGTGTGTTCCAGTATTCTAGGTGTGAACGTTTTCACTGCTGATAGCAACTTGAAAAGATTTGGCAAGTAGTTGCTAGCATGGATAGTGGGAGCATAAATGTCTCCATCTTTTAGTGTTCTGAACAAGACGTTCATGGCCAAGTGCATATAAAAGTCCATGTGATTAGTTAGACTCTTAGAGCCCAGTGCCGTGGGACACCTGTTGGGGAGATAGGTATAGCATTTGCTGTTTACTCATAGTTAGTTAGTGGTGTGTCATGACCACAGTTTTAGGCACTATATATGAGATGCCTAGCATGTGCCAGGCAATTTGAGAAGCTTACCTTTGAAGGATATTAAGCTCTGTCATGAATTAATTTAAAATGCACTTTAAATCTAATTTAAATAATTTATTAATGAACTTAGATCAGTTTATTGATCAAGCTCTGTGAGATGCCTTGCTTAGAAAATTTTAACTTCCTAACACCTGGGGTTGGTTGGAAAATCAACAAGGCTCAAAGCTATTTCACTTGTTGAACTCAGTAACTCTACGTTCAAATACCAAGATTAAAAATTTTTTTTGACATTTTGAAAGTAAATGAGTATTCCATAGATCTTTAAGCCCTTGATTTTTAATTTGTTCTTTTAAATACTAGATAAGTTATTTCATGGTGACTTTAAGAAATATTAAAAATCTGAAAACCAGCTACTCACTATATTTTTACCCCCAACTCAAGGAAAAAAGTATGGCCCAGGGGATACTTTAAACAACACTGAAGAAAATTCTCCATTATGTCAAATCCGTGGATTAAATCAAGCTGTGAAGGAGCTCAAGCCAGCAAAGGGGCATGAAGCATGAGGGGAAAATTATAAAAATACAATGTCATTAACAATATGCACTTTCTATATAGGAGTCATTACTGATATATATAAATATTAAATTTGAGGTTTTTTTATATTTTAGAATTATGTAGGAAAATGATACTATAGAACAAATTAGGAATGAATCATTGGATATTGGGCTATAATTCTGTTGGTTGGGAGAAGCTGTAGGCAGAAAGGAAGAATGTCAGTAGATGAGGTTGTGGAAATGTTGAGTTTATCAAGGTACTGTAATTTCCCAGAGGATCATTTCCATAGATTTCTATTTCAGTTCTTACAATCATTGGGCCTGTCAGATAAATTGATCAGGCTGTGATCAAATTCAACTTCTAACTGTCAGAGCAATGAGTAATTTACCATTCTTTAAGAAACTTAGGAAAAATTCAAGCAAACAAATATTCCTTTTCTCTCAATGTACAAGGGAGAATTAATTTTACATACATCTGAGGTTTACTTTCTTTGCAGAATTAGAGTACATGTGTTACTTAAAAACCTTTTCAGTGGCTCTTGTATGATTTCATTAATTCGCTCTGTGCTCTCTTAATAAATTTTACAAAAATACTCATGGCAAGTTAGCATTATTTGTGTGTGAATTTTCCAATTGTATTTCAGACTTTAAGAAAGAAAGGCCTTAATGGTTGTGAGAGCCCTGATGCTGACGATTACTTTGAGCACAGTCCACTCTCGGAGGACAGATTCAGCAAACTAAATGAAGATAGTGATTTTATTTTCAAACGAGGCCCTGTAAGTACTTTTATTTTACCTTTACTTTTTATTTGTTGATCCTTTTTGTTAACTTCATTATTTAGGCTCTGAACAAGAAGGAGCACAGAGGGTGCGACAGCCCAGACCCCGATACTTCATATGTGCTAACTCCACATACAGAAGAAAAATATAAAAAAATTAATGAGGAATTTGATAATATGATGCGGAATCATAAAATCGCAGTGAGTACTAAAGTATGGTTTGTGCTTTTATCTTGTGCATGAAGAAATTGACCGTACATCTTGTTACTTGTGTTTACAGTGGATGAGCACAATAATAAGTAGAAGGAAAAAAGGCATTTTATACATTACTTTTTGTTTTATAGAACTTTAAAATTGCTGAAATCTTATAATAGTACATGTTCAGTATCTTAAATATAAAAGTGAAGAGAAAAACATTCTAATCCAGACTCTGGTAGTTTCTATCCCTGTACCTTTGGGTAGACACCTAACAATCCTAAATTCCACTTTCTTCATCTATAAATTAGTGAATTGGCTCATGTAATTTTTAAGGTCCTTCCTCGCTCTAAAATTCCATGACTTTTAATATAAAGTATATATGAGACTTTCCTCTTTCTCCATGACTTAAAAATACTGAATGTGCCCTAAAACTGTATACAAATTTTGAGGGGAAAAACAGTATTAAAATTGTAACTAACACTCTCTCTATATTGATAACATTTGTTCCTTATATATTGTATCTTGTATGTCTTATAATTGTAGAACTCAAACATGACTTGAGTATTGAAATTTTAATAACAGGCTAGGTTCACACATGTAATTCACTCTGAGAGGCTGAGGTGGGTGGATTGCTTGAGCTCAAAAGTTCAAGACCAGCCTAAGCAAGAGAGAGACCCCATTTCTACTAAAAGTAGAAAAATTAGCTAGGTATTGTGGCAGGTGCCTATATTCCCAGCTACTTGAGAGGCTAGGCAAGAGGATCTCTTGAGCCTAGGGGTTTGAGGTTGCTGTGAGCTATGACATCATGACACTCTAGCCTAGGGCAACAGAGTGATATGCTGTCTGGGGGGGGGAGGAGGAACAGTATAGTTTTTTTCTTTCTTTCTTTCTTTTTTTTTTTTGGAGACAGAGACTCAAGCTGTCGCCCTGAGTAGAGTGTGGCATCACAGCTCACAGCAACTTCCAACCCCTGGATTTAAGCAGTTCTCTTGCCTTAGCCTCCCAAGTCCCTGGGACTACAGGCACCCACCACAACGCCTGGCTATTTTTTACTTGTAGTTGTCATTGTTGTTTGGCGGGCCCAGACTGGATTCAAACCCGCCAGCTCTGGTGTATGTGGCTGGCGCCTTAGCTGCTTCTGTGATAGGCACTGAGCCAATTTTCTTTCTTAAAATGTATATACTTTTATTTTTTTGTACCCTCTGTATATATATTATACATTCTTAAATAGATCTTGAGAATATAAAATGTAAAGTAGTTGGACTTGTTACAGAATTTGGTATTTCTGAGTTATTTTCAATTATCTTGTATAGTTGTAATAGTAGTAGAGCTAAACTTTCTCTTTGGTTCTTTGTAAATGTCCCAGATCACTTGGTAATGATAACACCAAATTCCAGGTCTTTTCTTATGCTGTAGATAATGAGGAAGATAGCCTAGGTGAATTTTAGTTTAAGGAAACAATATTCTTAAACTGGTTGCAAAACAAATAGGGCCTTTAAAATTTTTCTGTGCTTATAGCCAGGTGTTGTGGTGGGTGCCTGTAGTCCAGCTACTTGGGAGGCTGAGGCAAGAGAATCATCACCTAAGTCCAAGAGTTGGAGGTTGCTGTGAGCTGTGACACCTCGGCATTCTACCGAGGGTGACAAAGTGAGACTCTGTCTGTAAATAAATAAATAAATAAATAATTTTTTTTCTGTGCTTGCTTATACATTTAACCACAGTGAGAGAGTATTCCTAACATCTTTGAGTTCATGCTCCTGGACTTCATAGTTCTTCAAAGAGTTCCTCTCACTGGAAGCTTTATTGACAAGAGCTACTTAAGATGATTCTAGATCTAATTTTCTACTTCTGTGTGTGTAGCATAGCTTCAGTGGAACACATTTGTTCCAGTCTTGATATTTGTTTCATTTTCAGAGTTAATTCTCTTAAAGCTGTGCCCTAAACTGTGCGTCAAGTATCCCATAGTCTGCAGGTTGAATGTCCCTTATCTGAAGTGCTTGGAACCAGACAGTTTTGGATTTTAGATTATTTGCATATACATAGCATATTTAGATTATTAGCATATACATAGCATATCTTGGGGATAGGACCCAAGTTGGAACACAAAATTCACTTATGTTTCATATATACTTTATACATATAGCCTGGAGGTAATTTTATACAACTATTTTGAATAGTTTTGTGCATGAAACAAAGTTTGTGTACATAGAACCATCAGAAAGCAAAGGTGCTGCCCCATGTGGGATACTGTAGGGAGCCTGCAGTTGGGGTTTCTATCCCAAATATGTGACATTTCATTTTTGTGAGGGTGATTGCATGGAGGAATCTGGGCATACGTATATTGTATGATATATTGAAGGTAAAGAAGAATTGGGAGGGTCTTTTTTTCCCTTGGGAATACTGAAGAAGCTGTGTGTTATGTACCTGCGTTTTGATTGCAGCACATCATATGAGGTCAGATGTAGCATTTTCTTGCATGACATCATGTTAGTGTTCAAATGTTTTGGATTGTGGAGGATTTGGGATTTTCAAATTAGGGATGCTCATCCTAGATAAGAAGCTCATGAAAAATACTTGTAAGGAGGTATTTTGGGGCTAATGTTGTTATTTTTCTTCAAAACAAAACAGTAGCAAATAAAATAAAATTTCTTCTGATCTCACAGGGATATTTACTTCTGAAAAAATTTATTTATATATACAGTTTTCATATTTGTTGATGAATAATTATAATTTTTCTACCTGAAATAAAGTACTGTTGAATTGAATACATAAACTGTTCCTATATTCTTTGAACAGCATTACCTTACTTTTTCAATCACTGTTTTAAAATGAGGACAGAAGAAAGTTATTTTATTTTCTTTGACTTTAAATCATTGGTTCTCAACCTTCCTAATGCTGTGAGCCTTTAATATAGTTCCTGTGGGTCATGACCCACAGGTTGAGAACTGCTGCTTTAAATTATAAAGAGGACTGTTATTTTTCCTGGCAATAAGCACCTTTAAACAGTCTCTGGGGGAAATACAACAGGAAAATAGACAATGTCATTTTAGAGGGAATATGGAATGTTTTAGATGGAAGGAAGGTTAGCATTTTTAATATTTGTAGTTTAATCCTCATACAATTTAAAGAAGATACAAAAAAATTATTACTAGCTTGTTAGTACTTAATTTTGCTGTTTAGATAAAGTTTCTTTGCATTTTCATTTTACCTAGATTGTGTTGTATTATGTATAATTATTTTTCTTTAATTTTGCCCATTAAGTAGTTAATCAAATAAATCAGACCAGGGCTTATTTGTAATGTTCTGGATTTGATGTATTAAGTTAATAATTTTGTGTACACACTCTTTTTTTCCCTGTATTCTGTTTGAGATCTTTCAGTCAAATATAATGTTACTAAACTGGTTTGCAATGAAGTGCTAATTTATGCTTACTTGGTAACAATGATAGATTTTGTAATGTCTAAATTTGACAACACTAATATTAGGTTTTAACCTCTCATTTTCATCTTTATAAATATTTGAAATACAGAGTATAGATATAATTAGTACATATATGTTGATACTAAAAACTGAAGTTCATGTCAAATATATTCATGTTCAAATATAATTCTAAAGAAAATAGCTTACAACTGCAAATTGATTTAGTAAGAACTTGTCCACATTTATTACTTTTGATAACTTGAATTACCTTATCACATTAAAGTTCATAAGTTACTAAATACAGATGGAAATGAAGCTAACAATTTTTTCCTTGTTCTTTATTTACAGCCTGGTCTGCCACCTCAGAACTTTTCAATGTCTGTCACAGTCCCTGTGACCAGCCCGAATGCTTTGTCCTACACTAATCCAGGGAGTTCACTTGTGTCCCCATCTTTGGCAGCCACCTCAACATTAGCAGATTCAAGCATGCTCTCTCCACCTCAAGCCACATTACATAGAAATATATCCCCTGGAGCTCCTCAGAGACCACCAAGTGCTGGCAATGCAGGTGTGTAGTGATTCTGCTGGTTCTTTAATAAAGAGGGTGAGAAAACTAATGGCTGTTTATAAGCAGTTTCTTATTGTGATACTCTTAATTTTACTGCTTTGATAAACCGAGTGTCACTGCTACTTGCTCTGTTTTTAAAGAAATTTTGCTGAATGTGTGGGTGTAGCGTTGTGTCAAAGTACAATATGGAGGAGAATTTCCATCTCTAAGCTTTCCTTGTGATGGGAAAGCCATACTTTGACAGGCAAAAGATACAGTTCCTATGTCATGGTCAGAGATTTAAAGTTGAGTATGAGCCATTAATGTTAGAATTAGTGGGAAGAGACTTTCTATTTGAAGTTAGAATGTTTTTTGTGTCACCTTCTGCCTGACTTAATTTATTAATTAAGCAGAAATTTGTAATGTGTATACTGCATTCACTTGTGTAATGCCATGTCTCCTCCTGCTGAAGTCCCAGACCTTCGAGTACTCTAGAGCCCTCTCCCCATTCTAATCAGTATGTACTATTCAGTAATGATGCCCAGGAAGGCAGACACATTACAAGCTTGATAGGTAAAGTATATATGGATGAGATATTAAATTACATATTAATGCCAACTTCAGCCTGGGCCAAATTTTTATTTTTGTGGTTTTTTAGTAGTGGAGTGAGGATTTTCCCTGTTTGTTTATAGCTAGTCAGATGAGGATCTTAAGCTAGTTCATGTTCATTCTCTGCCTTTCTTTAACATTGTTAGGTGGGATGTTGAATACGACGGACCTCACAGTGCCAAATGGAGCTGGAAGCAGCCCAGTGGGTGAGTGAATTTTTACTGTTTCATTTTGTAGACATCTATCCCATATGAGATAAAAGGAATATTGTCCCTGAAATGAAACCCTGTATGAAGTTTCCTTCTGAGGGGTGCTTTCACTAAGACCATTTTTTTTCACGACACCTTATTTTATTCCTAACGTTGTGGCCTTAAGTTCAGTTACTCATGCATTCTTTAAGTATTTATTTTATTGACTGCCTCCTCCATACCAGACATTGTTCTCTTCTAGAAACTAAATTGCCTTAATGTAACATTTGCATCAAGATGGTTTCTTAAGGAGAAGCTTTCTGTTGTGTCTGTCCTTACCAAGGTCAGACTAGAGAAACTGTTATATCTTACATGAAATGTTTTCAGAAATTACTTAAATAAAAAAATGGACATAGTTTAAACTGAATTAACAAAACTATCATTAGTTCTTTAAAAAGACTAATAAAATTTAATATTTTCATTACTATTCAAAATATTTTATAGGATTCATTATAGTTTATTTAATCTGTAAGTTATTTAGATATTTCTTAATTCCAAATACTTGAAGATTTTCTAGTTATCTTTTGGATTTTGTTTTCTAGCTGAATTATTTTGTTACTAGAGAACTTACCTCCATATGATTAAATTTTCTGAAATTTGCTAATCCTTTTTTTGTGGCCTAGCATGTGATTGATTTTTATGTGATTTTTGGGTACTAGAAAAGAATGTTTATTCTGTAGTACAAGCATGGATTGCAAATTTTGTTTATTTTAAACAAGTTTTAATTTCTGTAAAAACTTACTGTGTCTCTTCAAGTTTAGAGACTTGTGATAGGCCACTTCCAGTTAGTTCCACTTTTCCTTTAAACTGTATCCTTTTAACTAATATTTTCTTTTTCTTTCTTTCTTTCTTTTTTTTTTGAGATCGAGTTTCACTATGTCACCCTTGGTAGAGTGCTGTGTCATTACAGCTCATAGCAACCTCCAGCTCTTGGGCTTAAGTGATTCTCTTGCCTCAGCCTCCCAAGAAGCTGGGACTATAGGTGCCCGCCACAACACGTGGCTAATTTTTTTATTGTTGTTGTTGCAGTTGTCATTGTTGTTTAGCTGGCCCGGGCTGGCTTGAACCTGCTAGCTTTGGTGCATGTGGCTGGTGCTGAGCCACATTATCATTTTCAAGTGCATAATATGTTTATAGATGAGTCCTCTATTTGCCTTGTTTCTGTTTTAATTTTTGTGCAGTCTTCTACCTGATTCTCAAACCAGGATGCTTCCATGGTATCCATCTAGATAGTTTGAGGACTGTTTTGCTTATCTTTAGTATCAGATATTGTGAAAGTATGCATGGATCCTTTTTTTCCTGCTCATCAGCTTCCATTAGTGTTTGTGTATTTAATGTGTCACCTAAGACAACTCTTATTCTTTCAATGTGTGGCAGAAAAGAAAAAGGTTGGAAACCCCTGCTAGGTTTGTGTACTTTTGAAAGAGGTGTCTTTGAACTTTTAAAGCAATGAGCAAATCCAGGCAAGGGGTAGACTTTATAAAGAAGAAACCAAAGAAAGCCTAATAAGACTGATCAGTTTGTCTCTGCTAAAATTAGGAACTTTTATTCATGAAAAAAACGCCATAAAGAGAGTAAAAACACATATTGGTGTGTATACAATCAATAGAGGACTTTTTTTTATATGAAGAATACTTACAAATTATTGAGAAAAGGAAAACTTAAGTTTTCAAAATGTGCGTGAGAACACAGGCACTTCACAGAAGAAGATCGTCAGGTACCTATAAAATGTGAGAAGATGCTCAATTTCCATAGTTAAGAAATGGAGAATGAAGACTACACACAGAGATCCCCGCATGCCTACCAGAATGGCCGGATTGAAATCGGCTGTATTGACAAGGCTGTGGGAAAACGTTTACAAGGTCTCTTATGCTGGTGCTGGGAATACAAATTATTGTAACTGTTTTGGCTTTAGTCTCTTAAAGTTGCAGATATGCTTATTTTATAGCCTAGCATTTTTACTCATCCTTATATGTTGTAAAGAAATGCTTTTGTGCACCATAAGGTACACAAAAAGATAATGGAAAAGATCTGTATGTTATAGTCAACATCTAGAAATAATCCAGTTTGCTATCAACATTATATTGGATACAGGCTGGGCAGGGTGGCTCCCACCTGTAATACAGCACTGCAGAAGGTTAAGGCAGGAGGATCACTTGAGGCCCATAGTTCAAAGTCAGCCTTGGCAAAACACCAACAACCTGTCTCTACAAAAGAAAAAAAAAAAGAATGAATAAATAAATAGTAGCACGTTCATGTGAAAGAATATTGTAGTGCAGTGAAAATGAAGAAACCACAAGAGAACTTGATAATGGATGAATTTCACTGAACTAATATGAAGAGGAAAAGGTAGATACAAATACATACCCAGTGATTCTATCTACATGATGTTTCAAAAGCAGGCAAATAAAACTAGTTTGGAATGCTTGTGTAGCTGGATGGTAAAACTATAAAGAAAAACAAGAAATTACCAAAGAAGCCATGAGAATGGTGACTTTGGGTAGGTGAGATTATGGTGGTGTTTTAGGGTGCTCAATTAGGGGGTTCTGGTGACATTCATTTTCCTGATCTTAAATGGATCTCTCTGTTTTATCCTTAATCTGTAAGATTTTGTTTTGTACATTTTCTGTATATGTGTTATATTAACAATAAAAAAGTTTTAAAAATGAGTATGATATACTAGATATAAAAAAACTATAACCACAAATATGAAGGGACTTTAAAAATTTTAAGAGAATGGAAAGTAATATTTATACTATAAATTCCAAAATTTAGAGAGAAACAAAATTCACAGACACACACTCAACAGAAAGACTCTTGGTAGCCGTTGAGTCTTTGGACATTGTTGCCTACATGTGGCAGCACTCATCTTGAAGTCATGAAGGGAGTCTGTTTAAGATGACAAGCCAACATGCCAAGGATAACAAAGTGAAA